GCCTAGTGCTGCAGTCACTCCCCGTGCCCCGCCACCCCAGACCAACATCCCTAGGCCCCTGGGCTGCTGTGCTGCACTCATCTGGTCACAGCTAGACAGAGTCTTCTTGTTCTTTCTCAATGCCTTTTATTTAGTTTTTGTGCCTAATTGCCTTAGTTAGAACTTTCATTCAATGTTGACTAGAAGTGCTTAAGTGGATTCCTTGTCTTATTTGTGATCTTAGGAGAAAGTGTTCACTTTTTCACTGTGGAGTGTTATGTTACCTGTGGATTGTTTTCTTTTTGTATGTAATGGTTGAAGAGTTTCTATTTTAATCCTAGATTCTTGAGTGTTTTTATCCTGACAGGTGTTAGATATGTCAAATGCTTTTCCTGAAGTGATCATTTTTTGGTCCCTTAATCTACTTCTATGGTGTAGTATATTAATTTTCATACATTGAATGCATCTTTGCATTTCTCAAATAAATCCTACTTGATGGTATTGTTTAATCCTTTTTATAAGTTGCCAGATTTGATTTGCTAGTATTTTGTTGAGGACTCTGGTGCTTATAACCTCTTTGTCTGTATAGGATAATTCTGGGCTGATGGAATGAATTGAGAAGTGTTCTCTCCACTTATATTTTTTATTTTCATTTTTATGGAAAAATGTGTTAAAGATTGGTTATTAGTTATTTTTTCTTTAAACATTTCGTAGAATTGCCAATGAAGATCTCTCATCCTGAGATTTTTATTGGTGAGAAGTTTTTTGATTACTAATTCAGTCTCTTCTCATAGGTATATTAAGATTTTCCATTGCTTCTTGATTAAGTTTTGGTAATTTTATCTTTTACTCCTGATTTTTGTAATTTAAAACTTCTATTTTTTTCTTGGTCAGTCTAGCTACAGAGCTGTCATTAAAAAAAATTTCAAAGAACCATCTTTAAGTTTTGTTGATTCTCTTATTTTATGTTTTTCTATTCTCTCTTATTTTCCTCTCTAATCTTCATTATCGTTTAAAATTTTTGCTTTGGGCTTAGTTTGCTCTTTTTCTAGTTTCTAACAGTGGAAGATTTGGTGATTAATTTGAGATTTTTCTTTTTTATTAATAGAGGTGTGTAGAGCCATGAATGTTTTTATATTCACAGCTTTATCTTATTCATAGCATAAATAATTTGATATATATTTTCATTTTTTAAAAATGTGTTTTCATTTTTATTAATCTCCAGGTATTTTCTAATTTCTCTTGTGATTTCTTCTTTGACACCTTAATTATTATAGGAGCATGTTAATATCCACATATTTATGGATTTCCCAAATTTCCTTCTGTTAGTGAGTTCTCATTTCATTTCATGCTATCAGAGTATACTTTGTTTCATTTAATCCTTTTAAATTTACTGAAGCTTGTTTTATGTCTTAACATATGACGTGTCCTGTAGAATGTTTCATGGACACTTGATCTTGGGGTTTTTGTGTAGTGTTGTAAGCTGTCTGTTAGGTATAATTGGTTTAAATTCTGTTCAAGTCTTATATTTCCTGCTTGATCTTCCATCTAGTTGTTCTATCCACTGTTGAAAGTAGGGTATTATAGTCTCCATTCTACCAGTTTTTGCTTCATGTACTTGTTAGGTGCATGGATGATTATAATAGGTGTACTTCTTGATGCATTGATACTTTTTTCATTATAACATGTCCTTCTTTGTGTCTAGTAACAACTTTTGCGTTAAAGTCTATTTTTTTGAAATTAGTATAGCCATTCTTATTGTTGGCATGCTGTATCTTTTTCTGTCTTTTCATTTTCAACTTATTTGTGTTTGTAAATCTGAAGTGTACAGAAAGCATCTAGTTGAATTATTTTTTAAAAGTTCATTATGTCAGCTTCTGCATTTTAATTGGAGAATTTAATCCACTTATCTTTAATGTAATTATTAGATTACATTTGCCATTTTGCTATTTGTTTTACATGTTTTTGGTTTTATTAGTTCCTCTCTTTCTCCATGACTACCTTATTTTGTATTAAGTAGATATTTTCTGCTGTACCATTGAAATATCCTTGTTTATTTTGCTATATTTATGAGATTTCTTTTTTTTTTCAGTAACTAGGGAATACCATTAACATCTTCATTTATTATAGTCTAATTCAGATTAACATCAATTTAATTCAAATGGTATAAAACATTTTCTCCTTGTGACTCCATTCCCTCTCCTTTCTTTGTGCTGTTATTTTCCTACAAATTTCATCTTCATAAATATATGGTCAGGGATAGAAATATATAATCATTGCTTTGTACTTTTAAATCATATAGGAGGAAACTAGAGTTATAAATAAAAGATAAATTCATATTGTCTTTTAAAAATATTTTGTTTATCTGGGAATGTGTTAATTTCTCCTACATCTTTGAATGATAAATCTATTAAATATAGAACTCTTGGTTGTCTAGGAATGGAACTTTGAAAGCATTCCAATAATATTTTGCTCCTTCCAGTGGCGGTTAGGCTGATGATTGTCATGATAAATGCAGGCTTTGGATTTTTAAGACTATCATGGATCTACAGAGGAAGGAATGAGGATAAAGCAAGTTAAAATGTCAAAAGCTCACTGCTCTTACCAATTCAGCTGTTTTTCTTCTACTTTTCATTTTTTAATAAGCACTCCTCAGATTGCTGCAAGCCTTTGGTTATTTTCAGCATTGCAAAAAGCTAAATCTGACATTTTTTTTGCCAGTATTTTTATTGCTTTTATGGAAGAGAGACTTTTCAGACGTCCATACTTGTTCTTTTTACTGATGTCACTAGAACACTTAGGGTGAATCATTTTAACATCTCACCGTTTGTTATAGCGTTCCAAATTAAAGCTGGTTGTTTTAGACTGAGTTTCACTGGAAACAGAACATGAGATAAAGACCTGTATACAGATAGTTTATTTGGAAGGTAATTCTAGGGAGCAGAAGTGAAAAAGCCAAAAGAATGAGGATGAGAAGGAGCACAAGCCAATATCAGGCTGTGTTAATCATGTCACTGCTACAAGCAATGGAGGCTTGGCAGTACTAGGACCTCCATGGAAACACACAGAATGCCTTCCAAACCAGAGGTGAATGCATTTTTCCATCACCTCTTATCTTCAATTGGCTGGTTATATCTGCAGTGTTCTTAACTTTCCGATACTTCCATGTCTCAAGTGCCATGACCAGAGAAAGTGCCTGTATTATCCACACATTGAGGGAAAAGGGTATACCTGCTGTAGACACTGTCAGCACAAAATGAATCAAAGGTCTCTCTGGTATTGTTTTCCCTAGCTGAGACTGCAGTCAGAGGTGATGTGAAGAGGACATGGGCTGGAGTATCTATGTGTATTAGTCAGGGTTCTCCAGAGAAACAGAACCAGAAATAGAGAAACAGAAGCAACGGTGTGTGTGTGTGTGTGTGTGTGTGTGTGTGTGTGTGTGTGTGTGTGTGTTTGTGTGTATGGTGTATTGTATAAGCCAATTTCATATATATATATGCCATTTTTTAGAGTTTATTTTTATTTTGAAAGAGAGATTGAGAGCATGTGCAGGGGAGAGGCAGAGAGAAGGGGAAAGAGAAAGAATCTCAACAGACTCGGTGCTGTCAGCAGGGAGCCTAGTGTGGGGCTCAAATCCATAAACTCTGAGGTCATGATCTGAACCAAAACCAAGAGCTGGACACTCAACTGTCTGAGCCATCTAGGCACCCCTATATGCACCATTATAATAATATATACAATATATTATGATATATGACAAGGAGTTGGCTCACACAGTTATGGGGCTGGCAAGTCCCAAGATTTGTAGGATTAGTCTGCAAAATGAAAATGCAAAAGAGCTGATGGTGTGGCTCCATTTTAAGTTCAAAGGCACAATAACAAGGAGAGTTGATGATATCTGAAGGCCAGCAGGCTTGCAACCCAGAAAGAGCTGATATGATATTTCAGATTGAGTTTGAAGGCTGGAAGAAGCCCATGTCCCAGAGAGAAGGCAGTCAAACAAGCAAAAAAAAAAAAAAAAAAAAAAAAACAACAACAACAACAAAAAAACACCTCTCTTCCTTAGGGAATAGTCAATCCCGTTGTTCTGTTTAGGCTTTCATCTGACTGGATGAGGGCCCATACTTTAGGGAGAACAATCTACAAAATCTGCTGAAGTTAATCTCATTCAATATGCTCATAGAAACACCTGGAATAATGTTTGGCCAAATATCTGGGAATCCTGTGGCTCATTCAGGTTGACACATAAAATTAACCATTATGTTATGACATTTATTAAATCAGTCTACAGGTCAGACATTAATAACTAGAACTAACTAGTTAATGATTGCTTTACCTAGCAATCTAGGATAGTGTAGTGTTAGGAAATTATAAGCTTTGTCTAATCAACCCTTACAGATAGAAATAGAACTCAAGTACTCAGCTACAAATATTACATTCCCAAAGTAATATAATGTATTGTAGAAAAAATTAACATTAAAATATTCTATTTCAGTTACAATGATTTCTTTGTAGCTATAAAGTTAATCTATGAAATAAATTCTAATAAAAGCAGTATAAGATTTTTTCATTTTCAAGTTTTTATTAAATTCCAGTTAATTAACATTTAGTGTGATATTAGTTTCAGGTGTAGAATTTAGTGATTCATCACTTACATACACACCCAATGCTTATCACAAGTGTCCTCCTTACACCCATTACCCATTTAATCCATCCTCCATCATCCATCTTTCCTCCAGCAACCCTCAGTTAGTTCTCTGTAGCTAAGAGTCTTTTTTATGGTTTTCCTCTTTCCCCCGCATGTTCATTTGTTTTGTTTCTTAAATTCCACATCTGAGTAAAATCATATGGTATTTGTCTTTCTCTGATGATTTAATGTGCTTAGCATAATACTCTCTAGCTCCATTCATGTCTTTGGAAATGGTAAGAATTCATTCTTTTTTTTTTATGGCCGAATAATATTCCATTGTACGTGTATACCACCTCTTCTTTATCCCTTCATCAGCTGATGGACATTTGGGCTCTTTCCATACTTTGGCTGCTGTTGATAATGCTGCTATAAACATTGGGGTGCATGTGCTCCTTTGAATTAGTATTTTTATATCCTTTGGGTAAATACCTAGTAGTGCAGTTGCGGGATCATGGGGTAGTTCTATTTTAGCTTTTTGAGGGACCTCCATGCTGTTTTCCAGAGTGGCTGCACCAGTTTGCATTCCTTCTAACAGTTTAAGAAGTTTTCCCTTTCTCCACATCCTCACCAACAACTGTTGTTTCCTGTGTTGTTAATTTCAACAATTCTGACAGGTGTGGGGTGATATCTCATTATAGTTTTTACTTGTATTTCCCTGATGACGAGTGATGTTAAGCATCCTTTCATGTGTCCGTTAGCCATCTGGATATCTTTTTTGGAAAAATGTATATTCATGTCTTCTGCCCAGTTTTTAACTGGATTATTTGTTTTTTGGATGTTGAGTTTGGTAAATTATTTATAGATTTTGGATACTAACCCTTTATTGGAAATGCCATTTGCAAGTATCTTCTCCCATTCTGTAGGCTGCATTTTACTTTCATTATTGTTTCTTTTACTGTGCAGAAGCTTTTTATCTTGAAGTCCCAATAGTTTATTTTTGCTTTTGTTTCCTTTGCCTTAGTAGACCTGTCTAATAAGAAATTGATACAGCTGATGTTAGGGAGGTTACTGCCTGAGTTCTCTTCTAGGATTTTGATGGTTGCATATCTTATTTTTAGGTCTTCTATCCGTTTTGAGTTTATTATAGTGTATGGTGTAAGAAAGTGGTCCAGTTTGGTTTTTTTTGCATGTTGCTGTCCAGTTTTCTCAACATTTGTTGAAGAGACTGTCTTTTTGCCATTGGATAGTCTTTCCTGCTTTGTCAAAGGTTAGTTGGCCATACATTTGTAGGTCCATTTCTGGGTCTTTTATTCTGTTCCATTGATCTATGTGTCTGTTTTTGTGCCAGTACCATACAGTCTTGATCACTGCAGCTTTGTTTGTTTGTTTGTTTTTTAATGTTTATTTTTGATAGAGACAAAGTGCTAGTGGGAGAGGGGCAGAGAGAGAGGGAGACAGTATTTGAAACAGGCTCCTAGCTGTCAGCACAGAGCATGATGTGGGGCTTGAACTCAGGAATGGCGAGATCATGAACTGACCTAAAGTCAGACACCCAATCCCCTGAGCCACTCAGGCGCCCCAAGCAGGATGTTTTTTAACCTCCATGTGTTTGTGGTCTTTCCAACTTTTTTCTTGTGATTAGCTTCAAGTTTAATAGCATTATGGTCAGAAAATATGCATGGTATGATTTCAGTCTTGTTGCACTTATTGAAGCCTGATTTGTGACCTAGTATGTGATCTCTTCTGGAGAATGTTTCATGTGTACTCAAAAAGAATGTGCATTTTGCTGCTTTAGGATGAAATGTTTTGAATATATCTGTTTAAGTCCATCCAGTACAGTGTGTCATTCAAAGCCATTGTTTCCTTGTTGATTTTCTCTTAGATGATCTGTCCATTGCTATAAGTAGGATATTAAAGTCCCTTACTATTATTATTGTTAATGAGTTCCTTTATGTTTGTTTTTTATTGTTTTATATATTTGGGTGCTCCCAAGTAGGTAAAATAAATATTTACAATTGTTAGATCTTCTTGTTGGATAGTCCCCTTTATTATGATGTAGTGCCCTTCTTCATCTCTTGTTACAGTCTTTGGTTTAAAATCTAGTTTGTCTAATAAAAGCATTGCTACTGTGGCTTTCTTTTGACATCCATTTGTATGATAAATGTTTCTCCATCCTCTCATTTTCAATCTGCAAGTGTCTTTTGATCTCTAGGCCGTATATTGATGGGTCTTGTTTTTTTTTTTTTTTAATCTATTCTGACACCCACTATATTTTGATTGGAGCATTTAATCCATTTACATTCAAAGTGATTATTGATATGTATTTGGTGCCTTTTTTTTACTTGTTTTGTTGTTGTTTCTGGAGACTTACTCAGTTCTTTCCTAGTTTTTGTTGCTTTTGGTCTTTCCCACTCAAAGTGTCCCCCTTTAATATTTCTTGCAGAACTGGTTTAGTGGTCATGAATTCCTTTGGTTTTTGTTTGTCTGGGAAACTTTTTATCTCTCCTCCTATTCTGAATGATAGCCTTGCTTGATAGAATATTCTTCACTGCATATTTTTCCTAGTCATCACGTTGAGTATATCATACCACTCCTTTTGGCTTGCCAAGTTTCTGTGGAGAGATCTGTTGCTAACTTTACTATATTTTGCAAATTTAGCTATTATGTCTTGGTGTTAGGCTGTTTTTTTGCTGTGCCTCTCTGTGTCTCTTGGATTTGGATGTATGGTTTCCTTCCCCAGATTAGGGAAGTTTTCAGCTACAGTTTGCTCAAATCAACCTGCCCCCTTTTCTTCTTCTGGGTCTCCTGTGACATGAATGTCATTATGCTTGATGGAGTCACTGAGTTCCCTAAGCCTACTTAGGGAATCTTATGATTCAAGATTTTTCCTTCCCCCTTTTGTTCAGCTTTATTATTTTCCATATTGCTCTCTTCTATATCAGTGATGTGTTCCTCCCCTTCTTCCATCATGGTGCTCATTATAGTCAGTCAGTTTCAAATCTTGGTTATTGCATTTTTCATTTCATACTGGTTTTTAAGTCTTTTTATCTTTTTGGTAAGGGTCTCCCTGATGACCTCTACGCTCTTCTCAAGCCCATGTAGTATCCTTATGACTGTTGCCTTAAATTCTGGGTCAGGCACATTTCTTATATCTGTTTTGATTAGATCCTGGCTGTGACCTTTTCTTGTTCTTTGTTTTGGTATGAATTCCTCCACCTGGGCATTTTGTGTAGGTCACGGTCTCTGTCTTCTTCTTTGTGTTAGGAAGCCTGTTATGTTTCCCTTTCCTGAGAGTAATGGCTTTATACAGAAGAGGTCATATAATGTCCAGGATCTGGCACATCAGGAAGTGTCTCTGGTGTGTGTATTGCATGCACTCTACTACTGTGTTATGGCTGCTCTATCCCTTAGGTCAGTCCTCTGTAGCATTTCTACTTGTCTGCAGTGGGAAGTGTTTGCAACTTTGCCAGAGTGTGGAGAGTTTTAACTAGGTTTGCTCTGGTCTGCTTGCTAAAAGAGACCTGATGCTATTTCCACTAGAATTGAAGTTTTGCAGAACTCTATGGTCAGTAGATGTCATTTATATGGGCATTAATTTTGGTCTTCTGGGGGAAGGGGCACACTATGCTGATCCTTAGGCACACTTTCCTGAAAAAAGCAGTACTGGCAGAGTGCCAAGGGTGTACGCCACAGGGTGAGACTTGGTGTAAGCACATCAAGCAGCCTGTGCTGTTTGTTGAAGTTAGTTTATGCTGAGGGGCTGGGGAGGAAAATGGCCCCAGGAAGCTCCTTTGTCCCTGAGAGGAGAAAGTGGTGGAGTCTGTGCTTGCTGTTCTCAGGGAAGCCCTCTCAGAAGAGCAAATAACTTCCCCTCTGCATCCTAGGCATTTTTTAGATTGTTGCTTTCACACTGTCTCTTGGCATTATTTGCCTGCCTGAAACAGTGCTATGCACTTTGGGGTCTATCTCAGCCAAGCTTGCTAACTTTTAAAACTCCAGACATTAGGCATCTGATGTGGTGAGGACCTGAGCTGGTCTTCTGGGGGTGGATCTCACTGTGCTAGGACTGTTGTAGGTTTGACTAAGGAGGGCAGTTTCGCCAGAGTGCATGGGCATGGGATTTGGAGCAAAACATGTTAAACAGCCAGTGTCCAGGGTGGCTGCCCTCAGTAGGTGTCTCTGTTCCTATGCTGAGGGGTAGGGGAGGGGAACAGTGCCTGCTAGCTTTTTTGTTCCCAGAGAGGCTATGCCACCTCTCCCAGATGTGCTCTAAGAAAAGGGAACAGTTTCTCCCTGTGAGTCTTAGGTGATCATCAGTTTGTGCCTTAGGCCGCCTCCCCGCCCCTTCTGGATTCCCTGCCTGCTTTTTCTCCATGAGTAGGGGAGCACTCTCAGGGCTCTATCCTAGCCATGCCCCAGACCTTGAAGACTTCATTCTTAAAGTCTTGCTGGTTGCAAAAAGTCACGAAAATCAGCCCCACTCATTTTCCCAGCCAATGGCTTTGGGGAAGTGTTCTCCTTACGCAGTCCCCTGTGTGCTTCTCTCTCTCTCTCTGACCTCTTTCCATGACCAGGGCTCCCTCCCCTGCTCAGCACCCATGTTCCATTTCTCCACCAAACCATGCCTCCACACCTCCTACCTTCCTGGATGTGCACCTTCCTCTAGTTGTGCAGTTTGTTGTGTCAGTCCTCGGGTTGATTTCATTGAGATATAAAACTTTTAAAGAATAAATCATATACTATATTTAATGTCTCCATCTTAAGTATATACACAAATATTGTTAAGGTATGCTTTTTAAGGAATATATGCAGTATATCAATGTTTGTTTATGACTCAAATTTTTCTAAGCAGAGCTATAAATAAGTTATTTTCCATTTCATTTAATGCTATAATTTTAGGTGCTATCATATATTAATGCTTCAGTTCATTAAATTTGTCCCTAACAATATAAGGTTCTGCTATTCTAGTGCTAGGTGACAGAATTAGATTTCTAGCCCCAGGGTACTTAAAGGTGACAGAAAGGTTCTGTTACATTTTTGCAATTTATTAAATGTGTTTGGAAAAGAGATACCAGATGCTTAGATAAAGATTTGGGGTTTTGCAATTCTTTATAGTACTAAAGATAAAAGAGAAGAAATATATATTAGTGTAGAAAATTCAGCTTGCCAAGTGTTTTTATAATTTTCTTCTTGTTTTGAATAACAAAAAATTATAGAGATATAAATTACATTGTTCTGAATTTGGTCAGGTAAATCATGTATTTATTTTATGCAAATGAAGGACTATTTTTCATATTTTAAAATTATTACCTATTTGAAAATCTTCATCTGTGATTGAAAAATGACTTCCAAATTAATGATCAAAGTTTCCCTGGAGGACCCAGAGGACATAGCATCAAAACAAAGTTTCTTCCAGTTTCTCCCTTTTGGAATAAAAATATCTTATGCTTGTCTCATCATTGTATTTTGGGAAAGGATAGTTGGTTTTTACATTTCACAGGTTCACAGATGGAGCGAAATTTTGCTTCGGGATGGGCAATACTCAGAGTCTCACCTGTAGCTGATTCAGGTGATTTATTGATGTATTTTTTTATTTTAGAGAGAGAGAGAGAGAGAGAGAGAGAGAGAGAGCGAGCGCATGAATGGTAGAAGGGCAGAGGAAGAGAGAGAGAATCCCAAGCAGGCTCCACACTCAGTGCAGAGCATGATGCACAACTCAATCCCCTGACCCTAGGATAATGACCTGAGCTGAAATCAAGAGTTGGAAGCTCACGTGACTGAGCCACCCAGATGTTACTGAATCAGATGATTTTGTTGAGCAGAATTAGAATTCTTTGTTTTGGTTTTTAGATGAGATACTTGTATTTAGAGTTAATACTGGAATGGTTTAAGACTGTTGAAGATACGAAATGAGGTGAGTGTTTTCTTTTTTATTCCAAGACAGATACAACTTTGGGGGGCCAAAGGTGGACTATACTGGATTGAATGGTGTCCCTCCAAATTCACATCTACCCAGAACCTCAGAATGTAATCACTTAGAAATAGTGTCTTTGCAGATGTAATTTGTTAAGATGGTGTCATACTGAATTAGGATGGACCTTTAGTCCAAAGACTAGCATTCATATAAAATGCCCATGTGAAGACACAGACACACACATAACCACAGAAGAGAAGGTCCTGTGAAGGAGGTGGACATTGGAGGGAAACATCTATAATCCAGGGAATGCCAAGGATTCCTAGAAACCACCAACAGCAGAGAGGGAAGAAGCATTCTTCCCTAGTGTCTTCAGAGGGTGCCTAGCTCAAATGATATTTTCATTTTTTACTCCTAGACTCCATAACCTTGGAAGAATAAATTTCTCTTATTTTAAGCCACCCACCTTGTAGTGTTTTGTCATGGCAGCCCTCTGGAACTAATGCAGTTTTGTACTCAGACATGTCAGGAATGACCAGGTAGACAAATTGGAACTAGTAGTCCTTTTAGAACACATAGATGTAAGACAATCATGCACTTAGATGCCAAATGCAGCATTGATGACTAAACTCATACTGTAGTATTGCTAGCAAGTTACTAGGTTTACATATAAAGTGTACATACTTTCCACTATTTAAGGAATTAGGTTATTACAACATAGTACTTAGGACCCAGGACCTAATGTAAAAGAATTTCCCCAAGGACCTCTACCAAATACATGGTCATCAGGTAACCTCTAAAGTCAGCCACAGGTATCTCCTCTATGTATGCCTAAATATGACTTCTCAATTTGTTGCTGCTAAATCCACTAGATACTAAAAATTTTCTGTTATGTTTTCATATAGTCCGTGCACAGTTTGTTGTCATGTATACTTTATCCATAGGCAAAAACACTTAAGACTGAGGTGGCATCTGGCTGACTCAGTCGGTTAACTGTCCGACTCTTGGTTTTGGATCAGATCATGATCTCAGTTTTGTGGATTCAAGCCCCACATCAAGCTCTACACTGATAGCATGGAGACTGGGATTC